TTAGATTTATCACAAATATTCTCTTCCTCTTCATATTTCAGAAAATATGTCATTTTACATTCTACTTTTTTACCTTCTAAGCATTTCAAGATCTTAATTCTTTAGAAATAATATTCGGTCTTCCTTCTTTTTCATCTGTTCTTTCACAACTCCTAGAGTCTAGATTCTCCTGCATTCTCTTCTGCATTGTTCCATACTTTAGACTACTATTCTGCAACACTGTCTTCTGTCTCTAGCTTTTCTTCAACCTTAGTGTCTCCTTTCTCCTGCTATTTTTGTTCATAAAGTGGCTGAACATCTCTGATACAAATTTTAATCTGTCTGGATTTTGTTAAAATCATGCTTTCTTCCTACCCATTTTCTTTATTATCTCCCAAGCAGTCTTACTTTTCTCATTTTATCCAATTTTCTTGTTGTCATCAGCATCTGCTTCATTCTGTTCTCTTCCCTGATGCCTTTTTTCTCCATTCCCTTTTCAATTTCTCATACCGTGTTTCCCCGAAAATAAGATCGGGTCTTGTATTAATTTTTGCTCCAAAAATGCACTAGGGCTTATTTTCAGGGGATGTTTTATTTTACAGTCGTGTCGTCTTCTTCTGGTTGCTGCACAGTGGTGGAGGGCACAGTTTCACTTAACTAGGGCTTATTTTGGGGGTAGAGCTTATATTACAAGCTTTCTGAAAAATCATACTAGGGCTTATTTTCAGGTTAGGTCTTATTTTCGGAGAAACAGGGTAGTTGCCAATATTTTGTTGATAATGTTTGATACTCTTCTTCCATCTTCAAACTGGAATATTCCTCTTTCTTTTCAATTATATCCCTTTCTCTTGTCCCCTCCGTTTGTTTCAATTATCTCTGTTTCTGGTAACTAATTATATTTCATGTCTTCTTAATCCATTTTCTTAGTTTTTTGTATTCTTTCTTACTCACTTTAATCTTTACCTAAGGTGTGTCACCTCTTACTGCATAAACTGGCCAGGCCCAGATGTTCCTGGATTACTAAAAGTCTTGACCATTGGCTTCTAGGATCTGCAGACCAAGGATACTGCAGGAACTGTTGGCTCCTCTCTGTACATGTGCTTTGCTTGTACAGAATTTATTAGAAACCAAGAATGTATTAGAAACCATAGTTTCATATTGCTCAACTGATATTCAGAGGCATACCACATCTGGCAGGGTATATATGAGAAAGAGAGCAATACTATGTTATGAAAGAGAGATGGTCTCCACAGTTTTGAGCTGTGGCCACGCCCTCTGCTGAGATGAGCCCTCCCCATCCCCAGGTTTCCTAGGAAACAACCAGGGCCTTAGGCCGAAACACCGTAGGTTCCTACCACTCCTCTGTCTGCCTTAGACAGTTCTCCCATGTAACAGATAAATACTGTAATAAGGTTAAAAAAAAAGAAAACCCATAACAACACAGTTTTACTTCGTAAAGCATCCCCATGCCACCAAAGTACACTTGTGCTTGTTTTATAGCTCTGACGTTAATGCTGGCTTTAGTATTGCCCCAGCCTGCCCAGTGTTGTGCCCCAACCAGGGACGTGTTAGGGATGGCGAGGCGCTTCCACGAAATTTCTCCCGCTTTTGGCAACTGAAAAGTTGTACGACAATAAAATCAACCCCATGAAGAAGCGGGGCGGGGGTGTTTGACCTCAGCGCAATGGGAATTGGAAGAGAGGACTGCAGTCGGACCAGACTTAACAGGCAACCCGTATTCATCACAGCTCCACATGTTCCGGCCTGACAGATTCAGTTCAGTCAGTATTCTGTAGTATCTTCTAAACAAAAGCTGA